AATATAAACCAATTTTAAACACAAATGAGCATTACACACATTTGAGGTTCTCACAACTCTGCATTTCCTAATCTTAGAGCTGCAAATATTTGTTGATTTTTTAGCATTCTGTGTGTTAGGTGCACTGGTTATTTATGTGATGGGAGAGACACTTGTCTGATCTATTTCCCAGCACTTTGTAAAGCTTTGTTTACTCCTAAGAAAGCTAAAGTAGTTCAGGCTCACACTTTCAACAGATGCTCCTTTTGAGGTGTTTTGCAGTAAATACCTCAGCAGTTGCTGTGTGGGATGGGACACTTCATCCTCCTCTTCTGGGACATTGGGTAAAAAGGGAGTCATTGTCACCACTGAATCACTGCATGTTTCTGCTTCATTCCTCATTTTCCTTTTCATTCTTCAGCATCAAAGTCAGATTTGTTTTCACTGCAGACTTCCCTTTCCCTGGAGTGGACTGATCTTCTTTCAAAAATAATCCAGTACCCAATAACAAGTGTTCTGGATACCTCATCCATCGCTGTCACGTCACGGTGACAGGACACAAAGAGACAAATCTCCCTTTCAGGAGGCTTCAGCTGGTGGTTTCACAGCCCTGCTCAAACACACACACTGATTGGCATGTTCTTCCACTGGAGGAAATGCTGAGAAGGTCTTGGCACACAGAGGCAGAAGCTGCAGATTGGTGGATCAAATGGGGCTGTTAGTTACAGCCTAATATTTAGCTTATTATCCCAGAAAGGATCATTGAGATCATCTAACCTAAGAGCTAAATTCATGGAATTGCTTAGAGATTTTGAGAGCTTTTGGTGTGGTTTTTTTTTTAGTGTAAACATGCAAGGAAAATGCAACACAGTAAATGAGCCCTAAGCAATCATCACCAACTGAGGCCAAGTTAACCCAGTGCAGAAAACTTCTGAAACTCAGTTGGAAGGGTTGTCATGAGCCACTTGAGCAAGGCAGTGGTGTTTAACAGTGCTGCACTGTTCCAGCAGCCTGAGTGCCCCCAGCAGTGCAGAGCCACCAGGGTTATTGCAGCCTCATCTCTGGGAGATGTTACTCACTTACTGTAAATGTGCTGAGGCAACACCTAAATGACTCTAGATCTGAGCCTTGGGGAATAAGTGAGGAGTGGATTTGATCTTAACTCTCCACTGCTTTGTTTTTTTGAGTTTCAAATGCCCTTGCCTGTGCTGGGAGCTGGATGTGGTGCTGGGGTGGATGTGGTTTGGTGTGTAATGCATGGAGAGGACACAGTGAGGTCCACATATTCCATCCCTGTGAGTGTGAACATCCAGTCATGCTCCAGCCTCTTCCTCAGAACCTGGTCCAAGTCAGTGCTTCATGGGGGTGAAGCAGGAGCTCCTGAAAAATAAAGGGCCTATGTATTATTATTGTTTTTAATTAGCCTGTAGTCAGTCAGTCCATTTCTCATCCCTGGTGCACATAACTGTAGCAGTCTCAGGCATCAGCAACAGATTTTAATTTACACTTTTTGCCAACTTTGTATTTTCTTATGCAATTTACTTTTTAAAATTAAGAGCACATGTTTTCCTTCCAAATAACACACAGTACATTTATTGGCATTTTAAATAGGCCAAAGTGAGTGACCAACCTTCTTCTTTTTCTTTCAAGTCTATTTTTTCCCTAGAGGCAAATTGCTGTGGG